CAGTTCCCCCCGCCGCTCCCCGTTAGCCCGCCCGGTGCACCGGAACTGTCCCCCGGCCCCTGTCTCGGCGCGGGACCGTGCCGGGCCCCCCGTACCGCTGCAGGAAGAGAGAGTAGGTGAGGGAGGCATCGGCTCGCTCCACGGTGCAGCGTGGCTCCTCCGGCACCGTGCCCGCCAGCCTGCAACGGGAGATTCCGCTCGGCACCGGCAGCAGGACCGGCACAGGGACCGGTCCCGGGGCAGCCCCTGTCCTTACCAGCCGCCGCCCGGAGGGTCGGTGCAGGCGCCGGGCCGGACCCAGCCCAGCACCACCAGCAGCAGCAGCAGCCGCGCCGCCGCCGCCATCGGGACCGGCACCGGAGACACCGGGAACTACAATTCCCGGCATGCACCGAGATCACACAGTTGACGCGGCCATTGGCAGAGCGCGTCACTACGGGTCCCAGTAAGGGCCATCACTTAAAGAGGCAGCGGAAAGCGAGCCCCACCCCACGGCTTAAAGCGGCCTCCCGGCACAAGGGGACAACAGCATGGGGACACCGGGGACACCGCAGGGCGGGACCCCCTGCCGGAGCGGGTCCGGGGCCCATCCCAGGCGTCGCTGCATCCAGGCGAAGCAAAGACAGGAGTCATGGCTCGAATCAACTGCTGGTTTGTTTTAATCCAGTAAAAAACGGCCGGGCAGGGGGTGCCCCCCCAGCCCTTATTTACACAAATAAATACAGGGAGGGCGGTGCCAGGGGCATGGGGCAGGGCACGCTGCCTGCCCTGCTCCCCCTGCCCCACCCCGCTGCCAGCTCCCCCGCAGGGGCGGGGCTCTGGGGGGCTCAGCTGTGCTCTGGGGGGCTCAGGTGTACTCGCAGAGGTGGCCGCAGCCAGCGGGGCAGTGGGAGCTGGTCTCCAGCCACTTCATGATGTGCTGCAGGTGGCCACCATGGCTGCAGCCCTGGCACCAGACGAAGAGCCCCTTCACCACGTGGTGACACACGGCACACATGCTGGCACACTGCCGACACCTGCACGAGGAGATTCGGGTGCGTGTGGGCAGGGAGAGCCCTCGGGGGGCAATAAGAGGGAACAGGGACACCCACCCCATCCCCCTGTCCCCACAAGCCCCTCTGGGCCCCCTCACCTGTCGCAGATCCAGCCTCTGTTGCTCATGGGCCGCTTGCAGTTGCTGCAGTTGACGTGCAGGGTGGTGGACGCCTGGTTGAGGCAGTTGATGGCACGGCAGGTGCTCAGCTTGATCACCTCGTTGGAGATGTTCCAGAGCTGGAAGCGCTGCAGCAGGTCGATGTAGGACGTGTACCAGTGCTCCTGGGGACAGCCACAGACAGCTGAGTCTCCACATCCGCCCTGAAACCCCCTCAGGACTCCAGCCCTGCATCCCAAAGGCAAGATTCCCCTGGGAGCTCAGCCTGGAGAAAAGGAGGCTCGGGGGGGGGGTTGTGCTTCTCACTCTACAAGTCCCTGACACGAGGGTGGAGCCAGGTGGGGGGCAGGCTCTGCTCCTAGGGAACAGGGACAGGCCAAGAGGAAATGGCCTCAAGCTGGGCCAGAGGAGGTTTAGTTTGGATATTAGGGAGAATTTCTTCATGGAAAATGGTGGTCAAGCATTGGCACAGGCTGTCCATTGCAGTGGTGGAGTCACCATCCCTTGGGGGAATCTAAAAGCTGTGTTGAGGTGGCACCTGGGGACGTGGTTCAGAGGTGACCTTGGCAGTGCTGGGGGAATGGTTGGACTCGATGATCTTAAGAGGCCTTTTCCAACCTAAAGGATTCTGTGATCCTCTGATCCCTGCAGTGGGAGAGTGGCTTTGCAACACTGGGGAACAGCATCCTTCCCTGCATCAACAGGGCAATGGCACCTCCCCACCCTGGCCCTGCAGAGCCCACCTCAAATCCCTGCCAGGACTGCTGGTGGGGCGGGTACCAGAACCCTGCAGCTGCTCACTGTGCCTTAGAGCTGGCCTGCCAGGGCCTGGAGGAGAAGGGACGTGCCCCAACCCCGGGCAGGACCCCATCCCATCGGGATGCACCCCCTGCGGGTCCCAGTGAGGCGTGGCCCTGCCCTCAGGGGCTCTACCTGCGTCTGCTCGTCGATCTCCTTGCGGATGCGCTCTCCCAGCACGATGAGCACGGACACGGCCGTCTGCACGTCGCCCTGCTCGGCGTAGAAGAGCAGCGTGTCCCGCACGATGGGGCTGAAGAAGTCGGAGGGCAGGCGGTTCTCGTAGAGAGAGTGGGAGATGGAGATCAGCGAGAAGGACTCCACGGGCGTCAGCGACACCGTCTCGGCCTCGTTGCCGCTGACGTGAGGGGAGTCGGCTTTGTCCTGCAGGTGGTCCAAGGCCGACGGGTTGTCCACGATTTCGTGGCGCAGGGGGAAGGCTTCCTGGGGAAGGCTGTATTCCTGCTCTTCAGCTGTGAGGAGAAGAGCAGGAATGAGCAGAGAAAACCCAGCTGGGACAGACAACGCGTCCCCCTGTGCGCTCACCATGCGGGTTCTCGTGGTCCATCATGTACAGGTCATCCTCATCTGCCTCCACGTCCCCCAGCAGATAATCCGCAGGGACGTCGCTGCCCTCCGTCTCCTCATTGTCTGCGTGCCCGGGGAAGAGAAATCAGCTCATCACACCACTGGATCCACCTCCCAGTGTCCTGCCCAGCATGCCAGGCTGTGCCCGAGCCACACAGCTCAGCTCCCCACCGCTGTCACTGTCACCCCAGGTCATGGGGGAAAGTTGTCCTTCTGCAGCGCCCTGGGGCTCGGTGCCCCTCACCCTGGGGCTGCAGCACGTTCAGCCACCCCAATTCACAGGATAAATGCCCCAGTTTGTGGCCTGTCTATGGCTGAGGAGGGAAGAGCTGTGGGGCTGGACTGTGCCCAGCCAGGGGCGTTACCCTCGTTGTTGATCAGGGTGGAGGAGGAATCCATGAGGATGTTCTCTGTGCGGCTTTCTCCTTTGCTGCGGTCCAGTCTGGACTCGCTGCCCAGCCCAGCAGGGATATCTTTCAGGTTAAAGCTGGGGAAAAAAAGCCAAATTTAACAGTCAGAGGAGTATAAAGTTTCCATTTTAGCCAGCAAACAGCCTGGGTACAGGTGTCCAGTTGCAATTTGAATGGAGTAACATGAGATACGGTGATATCCCTTCATGGGCAGAAGTCCCCACTGTGTGACTTACAAATAAAGACACATTGTGACTGTGATCACAGCCCTTCCTCCAAGCCTGGTGGCACTGCACATGCACTGCAAAGGTCTCCCTGAAGAATTCCAGAGCTGAGCAGGCTCTTGGCTCCATCTCCTTCCCCTCAGAGGCAGGTGAACAGGAGCTGCCTCGCTCCAAGGTGCCTGGCTGTTAGTTATGCATCACCATGCTTGGCCTTCACCAAGATGGAGAAGGGAAGGGATGGGGCTGGAGCAGAGCCCAGCTCCCCAGGCTGCTGCCTGCCGTGTCTCAGACAGGCACAGCCACCCAGCTGGAGGCAGAGCTTGGTCAAGGACAGTGCTTGTTTCCTTTGGTGTTATTTGAGGATCTGTCACTCACTGTGGGAACCCGGTCCTGCGAGGTCTGACAGCTCATTTGGAGTCCTCACCCTACACATTTATGTCATTGAGAAGAGGAAAAACAAGTTTTCCTGCTTCATCAGCCCACAACGGGCTCTCCATGCCAGAGAGCTGCTGGCAGAGCTTGGCTGTGCTCTCCCTTGGAAAGGCTCCAGAAGAAAACCTCTGCACACTGGCAGTTCCAGCTCCAGCCATGAGACACTTCCTCCATCCCCAGCCCTTGGTCACCATCACTGCCCTGGGCACTGCTGAGGCCTCACCTCAGATCCTGGGGTCACTTTTGGGGCCCTCATGACAGGAAGGACATTGAGGGGCTGGAACGTGTCCAGGGAAGGGAACAGAGCTGGGGAGGGGTCTGGAGCACCAGGAGCAGCTGAGGGAGCTGAGGAGGGGGACTCAGGCTGGAGAAAAGGAGGCTCAGGGGGGACCTTCTTACCTCCACAGGTAACTCTCTGACAGGAGCGGGGAACTAGGGGAGTCTGGCTCTGCTCCCTGGGAGAAGAGGAAATGGCCTCAAAATGTGCCAAAGGAGGTTGAGGTTGGACCTTGGGAAAATTTCTTCATGGAAAGGCACTGGCACAGCTCCCCAGGGCAGTGGTGGAGTCTCCACCCCTGCAGATGTTCAACATCATGTAGATGTGGTGCTTAGGGACATGGTTTAGTGGTGGCCTTGGCTGTGCTGCTGGGGGAATGATCTCAGAGGACTTTTCCAACATTAGAGATTCTGTGATTCATTAATTCAGTAACTGCAAAGCTGGTCCCAGCCCCTGCCCCACCACAGGCCAAACTTTGGTTGAAGGAGAGAAGGGAGCAGTGTGTGAGGCTGCACAGCTTGAGGCCAGGCTGGCCACACCAACATGGGAAATGGCTTCGTTCAAACAATGCCAACATGCAAACCAGCACAGCCTGAGGCTGAGGGAGAGCTGTCCCTGCTCGCTCCCTGTGTCTGGGAGGTTATTTATGTAGAAATTGTTCCCTGGGATGGTGAAGAGGCCCTGGCACGGGGTGCCCAGAGAAGCTGTGGCTGCCCCTGGATCCCAGGCAGTGTCCAAGGCCAGGTTGGATGGGGCTTGGGGCAACCTGGGCTACTGGAAGGTGTCCCTGGACAGGGTGTTGGAATGAGATAAGCTTTAAGGCTCCTTCCAATCCAAACCATTTTGGTATTCCATGATGTGATTCTATAACCCCATCCCAGCCAAGGAGCCGTTCCCACTCCCCCCTCACGGAGCCATCCCCCTCATCTCATCGCTGCCTGCAGCTCCCACCCCGTACCTGTTCATGAGCGGGAGGGCAGCGCTGCCTTTCCCCATGCTGTGGTTGAGGTTGGCGGACGACACGGTGCCGAGGCTGGAGTAGATAATCCTCAGCATCGTCCATGTCTGAGCCACCTGTGTGGAGCACACTCCCTGTCAGACCTCCCCAGGCCGTCACCCCCTGCAGCACAGCCGTCCCTCGGCTCACCTGGTTGCGCTCCAGCCCCTTGGCCACCTTGGCGTTGTGGTCGCAGAGCTCGGCCAGCGGCCGGCCGGCCAGCGCGTACTGCTTGGCCGTGTGCACGAACCAGTCCATGCTGCCGCTCTCCACGTCCGTCTCGAACACGCTGAGGGCGCTGGAGGACGAGATGTACTCAAACTGCTCCGTGGGGTCCAGCTTGCGCTTGAAGAAGATGGGGTGGCGCCGGTCGCCGATGTAGGGCTTGCGGTTGGAGTCGGAGGAGACGAGGCTCTCCTTGGCGGCGAAGGCCAGGTCTCCGTAGAGGCTGTAGCACAGCCCCTCGGGGTTGGCCCGGTCGATGGGCTGGCTGGCGTCCTTGAAGATGTGCTGGTAAAGGGTGCTGTCCTTGGAGCCCGAGAGGAGGAAGTAGGGGTCGTGGAGGTGCCGCCACACGATGCCCGTGGTGACGTCCTTGTGCTCCTCGAACATGGCGGAGGGGATGAAGGGGCGGCGCACGTCCCACACGTAGATGTTGTGGTCCACCATCATGGAGCAGGTGGCGATGTGGTGCTTGCACTCGGGGCGCCACTTCACCCGCGCCACCGAGGCGATGGTCTGCACGCAGTAGATCTCCTTGGCCCGCGTCGTGTTCATGTCCCACACCTTCACCATCTTGTCACGGCCACCTGTAGCCAGCCAGCCCCTGGGACAAGGACGGATCAGTGCTCACCTCTGTCCCCACTGTGGCACAGCAATGCTCACAGCACATGTGTGACCGCATCCACGCCGCAGGAAGGCAGCTGGGCTGCAATCCCATCCTCCCATGAGCTCCCCTGGCACCTCTGCTCTGCAACAACCAGGTCAGGCAGAACCTCCTTCCCGCCCCCAGTTATGGCCCTGCGCCTCTAGAGCCACATCCCAGGCAGATCCGTTCCCTCTGGCTCTGCTTTCCACCGGCCAGGCACAGCAGAGAGGAAAAGGCCATTCTGAACATATTTCAGTGCCTCTCCAAGATCAGGAGCAGTGGCAGCACTGCCTGACAGGGAGTGAGGAGGGACCTGCACATTGTAGCAGCTCCTTCCCATCCTTCCCAGCAACCTCCCAAGGAAAGGCAGGAGGGAAACATGACTGAACACAAGCGAGCCGTATCCCAGAGCAGCCAACCAGTGCCTTCCTCAAGCTGAGCACTGGAGCAAGAGGCTGCTGTGACATGGCTATACACAACCATAAGACACCCAGTGCCTCAAAACCCCCTAATTTATCAAAAAACAAACCTCAAACACCCTTACACCACCCCAAATGCTCAAATCAACAATCAGTCCTACCTCCCAGCAACATCCCAGCCCCTGACACAGGGTATCACAGACCATGCTTTCCCCCACAAAATCCCAATCCTGTTTTTAGGGTCTCTTGTCCTGCAAGGCCGGGTGGCTGGCAGGGCCCACACTCACCTGTCCTCGGGGTGCCAGTCGCAGCAGAAGACGGGCCCGTTGTGGGCCGTGAACATCCTCTCGTAGCGGTCGGGCCGGCGGATGTCCCACAGCTGCACGTTCCCGTTCTCGAAGGTGGCGGCGAAGGTGAAATAGTCCCGGATGCTGAACTGGACATCACGCACGCTCTCTGACTGGCCTGGGAGGGGACACAAGGTAAGAGCTCCAGCAAAGCTAAAAACCCCACTGGAAGAGCCATGGCACAGAGAGGAGGGGTAGCAGGGAGCGCTGTGACTGTCTTCCATCTCCCACACAGACCCAGCTAGTACTGAGAGGCAAGAGAAGGCACCAAAATGCCTCTCAGCTCCTTCTTTCCCTGCTCTGGGCATCGCACCCTGAGCAAACCCTCCTCTTGGGCAAGGGCAACGACAAAGCCCCCAACCCTTGCCTCTCCTAAGGGTGAAGGCACAAGCAAGGAAAGGACAAAGCTCCCAAACTCTGCTTCCCCAAGGGAAACGGGACAACAACAGCCACGTTTGTACCAGAGAAGGTGCTGACAGAGTCCTTCTTGCGCAGGTCGAAGCACTTCATGTAGCCGTCCTGGGAGCCGCTGAGCAGCATGTACACCTCAGTGGGGTGGAAGCACACCTTGTTGACGGTGCGCTTGTGCTCCGTGAACAGCTGGTCCTGCTTGTTGCGGGACGGCTTGCCCAGGTTCCAGGTGACCACCACGCCGTTGGTGGCGGCGGTGGCCAGCAGGTTCTCGTCCATCTGGTGCCACACCACGTCGGCGCAGCTGAAGTTCAGGGAGGGCTTGCGGCCCACGCGGAGGTTCAGCTTCTCCACAAACTGCTCCTCCTCGATGGAGTAGATCTTGAAGATGTTGCGGCCGGCCACCACCACCTGGGCAGCGTCCCGGCACACGCTGATGGCGTTGGCAGGGGCGTCCAGGTGGCAGAACATGGTGCGGCCAGTCAGCGCGTTGCCCCCGAGGGCAGTGGTGACCCTGGCCATCTTCTCCATGGCTGTCCTCGGGGTGCTGTCCCCTCTCCAGCAGGCTGCCTGCACACCCACACGGCCACCCTGCTCCACCTCAGCCAGAGCTGGGCAGGGACAGGCTGGGCTCCCGCGGCTCCTGCCGGGCCCTGGTGGCTCCGACCGCGGCTTCTTGTGGCTGCATCAACGGGCCGTGGAGGTGAGAGGCCACGGAGCTGCCTGTGGGAGATACAGCCCCACTCCGGGTTCTCCTCCTGCCACCCTCTGTGGCTTCCTCTCAGGGAGTTCCTGAAAACCTTCTCTGGTTCCCTCTTCCCTCCTCGGCCACACCTTGAGATGTTTTGCTGTTGCTGATAATCTAGGTCAAGTACAGCGCTGCGGCTGAAGTGAGCAGTGTCCGCAGCACGACGTGGGGTGAAGTGAGGCCACAGGCACCTCCGTGGAGCACTCGGAGCCCCAGAGCCTGCAAGAACCAGGGGATGACCCTTCTTCTCTAGCAGGGAGAGGAGGGGGGCAGCAGTTACTCCAGGCCTCCTGGAGGGATCACAGGGTCCCACAGGCTGTGTCCTCCAGAGCCAGGCTGAGCTCCTGCCACAGCACTGCCCTCTCTTGCCAGGTCCCACTGATCCCTCACACCTCACATTCCCACTTCCTCAGGGCCCCTTCCCACCCTCACAGCACCCTTAGGGTCCCGTCCTACCCCGAGGCCACCCCCAGCCCCTCATATCCCACACTGCCAGCCCATCAGGGCCCTCTCCGGACCCACAGCCCGCTCATACTCCACAACCCCTTCCTCCTGACCCACAGCCCCCTGGACCCCTCAGACCCCACACTTCCCTCTCTGCAGGGCCCGCTCCTGACCCAGAGCCCCTTCAGGGCCCTCTCCAGCCCTTCAGAGCCCACTCAGGGCTCCCTCAGAGGCCCCCTCACCCTATACCCTCCTCAGGGCCCTTCCTACCCCTCAGAGCCCCCGGGTCCCCTTCACAACCCCCTCCCGCCTCACAGAGTCTCCTGCCGCTGCCACCCGGTCCCGGACCCCTCTGTGCGAGGCCCCGATGCCGCTCCCGAAGCCGTACCCGCTGCCGGTTCCCGCGCCGGCAGCTCGGGCCGAGCAGGCCCCGCCGCCGCCGCCGCCGAACTCCCGCCAGGCCACGCCCCCTTCCGCCACCCGGAGCTCCCCCCGCTACCAGGACACGCCCCCTTCCGCCATTGAGATCCGCCCCCTCCGACAGGCCACGCCCCCTTCGACGGCGGGGCACGGCCCCTGGGGCCAGGCCACGCCCCCTGACGCTGCCGGCTGCTCCTCCAGCCGATTGCCCACGCCCTCTCAGTCCCGTGGGCTGTTCAGCCCCGCCCATCTGTGGCAAGACCACGCCCCCGGCAGCTCCGCCCCGCCCCTGCCGTTAGACCACGCCCCGTCTGTAGACCACGCCTTTCTTGTCCCTGGACGGCCCCCTGCACCAGGCCACGCCCCCTACCGGATCCGGCCATTCATCAGGCCCCGCCCACCCACATGCCGCTCAAGAGGCCCCGCCCCGCATGAAGCCCCGCCCCCGGTGTAGGGCGCGGTGGGGGCGCGGGGCCATGGCGGCCATTGAGCCTTGGGGGTCCGGGGCATTGAGCCTTGGGGGTCCGGGGTAATGCGGCGTCCGGGGCTGCCAGGCGGACCTGGGGTGCAGTGGGAATAGGGGTCCGAGGGGATAAATGGGAATTGGAGGATATAGGCGCCTTGGCCGGGGGTGCCAGAGGGATGTGGGGTGCACTGGGAGTGGGGGTTCGCTAGGATTAAGTGGAGTGCTGGAGGGATGGGAGCTGTACTGGGGACTGGGGGTGCAGGGGGACAGAGTACCAGGGGGTTCCGGGGGGTGTCAGGGATGAGAGTGTCAGGGAGATGTGGGATCCGGGGAGAACGGGGATGCCAGAGGTGCACCCCAGAGGGACCGGGAGCGCAGGAGAAAACGGGGTTTAGTGGGGTGCGGGGTGCATTAGGGATCAGGGTGGGAAATGGGGGTGCATTGGGGGTGTAGGAGTGAGCTGGAACGTTACAGGGGGCACAGGGTGTGTGGGTGCACTGGGGGCTTGGGGCACACTGCCGTGAGGGATATGGGGACATGTGGGGTCCAGGGCACTGGGGGTGCCAGAGGGATATGGGTGCATGGGGGATGGGGGAGCAGGGGGATAACTGGGGTCGGGGGTCTGTGAGAGCCTTGTGGGTCAGGCTGCAGCTGGGAAATGGGGGTGCCGAGAGGATATGGGGTGCGTTGGTGGTGTTCAGGTGCACTGGAGGGATAGAGGGGTGCACAGGGGTGCAGGGGGGCACTGCCACGGGGGGTGCAGAGGAGGGTGTGGAGGCCGTGCTGGGGCTGTCTGTGTAAGCTGGTACCAGGGACTTGTGCAGGGCTATCGCACCCCAAAACCACTGCTGTCACCTGCGGGGGTGGAGGGACCCTCTGAGTGCCGCTGTCCTGCCCAGGGACACTGCTGGGTTTGGGGGTGCGGGCAGCCCTCCACCCCCGTGCCAGGGTGCTCCGGGCCCCGGCAGTGCCGCCCTGTCCCGCAGCCCCAGGGACTCCCAAAAGCCCTTCCAGGGCCACGTAGTGCCATTTTGGGGTCAGAAAGGGGCGTTTCGGACAAAGCAGGGAGCGGAGGCGGCGGTTGGTGCAGCAGTTCCTTCCCGGCCGGTACAAAGGCAAAACAAACCGAAAGCGTGTCCGTGTCCGTGTCCGTGCCCATCCCGTGTCCGTGCCGGTGTCCGTGTCCGTGCCCGCTCTCCTCCCGCGGCCGCTGTGGCGGCGGGCAGTGCCCCGGGGGCCACCGAGCCCCTCCCGCGCTGGGTCCCCGTGGGCACCCCGGCCCCGCGCCGGCTCGGTCCCATCTCGGCTCAGCCCGGGGGTCCCCCCGGTGCCCCGCTTGCCGCTGGCATGGGGCGATGGCTTTTCAGCTGGAAGAGCGGTGGCGGTGGCAGTGTGTCCGAGGTGCCACCTCCTGTGGTCTCTCTGTGCTGCCGGTGTGGCCCGGTGGCTCAGGCCCGGCCCTGGTCTCCCGGGATGTCCCATCCCAGACGGATGGGCTCTCCCCGGCGGTGGCATCACCCCCACAGCCCCGCGGGGTGCAGGGCGGTCCCCAGGGCGGCCGGGGATGCTCGAAAGGGGAGCCCGGCTGCCAGGGCGGGATCCGGCCGGGGTGAAGCCGAGTGGAGAGGCAGCTGGGGCTGTCACTTGTCACTGTCCCCCCGGGTACCCCGAAACCTGCCGTAGCACGAGACTGAAGCAAGCGAGCATGCGAGGTCGGCGGGCGGGCGGAGAGGGACATCCTATTGACCGGGAGAAAGCGCCCCAAAGGCGGGGCTGGGGGCTGGAGGGGACACGCAGCACGGGGAGGGGGGGTGAGCTCGGTGACCCGCTCCGGGGGCGTGAGGGGACCCATCCAGCCTCCGCCGCCACCCCAAAACAAGCATCCTCCTCCGGCCCATCCCTGGGAGCATCCTTTGGTCGCCAGGAGCATCCTTGGTGGCGGGGCCGTGTGCCCGCTGGCACCGGGGCGGGGGGAGCAGGATGCGGCCGGGGGGCGTCACACAGCGTCGCCTTCCCACTTTGGGCTTCCGTGATGTCCGTTCGTCTGTCCGGAAGGGATTGGCAGGACACCGGGAGGAGCACGGGCGATGGCGGCGGCGTGGGGGGAATTTACATGGTACCGGGGGGGCTCCGGCCGGGGGCGACGCCTGCCCCCATCTCCCCCCGGAGCCCCGCGTCCCTCGGGGGCGTCGATGCGGGGGATGTCCGGGCTCGGTTGGAATCGGGGGCGTCTCTCGAATCCCCCCGCGGCCGGAGGGAGATGGGGTGGGCGATGGCGGCCGGGGTGGGCGCGGGTGGGCCGGGTCCGGTGCTACTCGATCACCATGCAGCACGGGAGGTGCTGGGAGAAGTACTTGAAGAGCTCCGGGGTGGCCCCGGGGCAGTTGGTGAGTTCCAGCTCCTCCAGCTCCTGCAGCTGCACCAGCCCCGACAGCCCCGTGGTGGTCAGCAAGGGGCAGCCTGCAAGGGGACAGGGTGCACTGTCAGCCCAGAACACCAGCGCCCCCCAAAAAAGAGCATCCCAAAAATAGCATCTCAAAAAATAACATCTCAAAGGCACCTACATCCCAAAACATCAAAATCCCCCCAAACACAACCAAAGACCAGGACCTCAAAATCCCAGCACTTTAAAACTCACCACACTCAAAAGACAGAAGCCAAAAAACCAGCGTGCTAAAAAAAAAGTACCCCCAAAAACCCCAACACTACAAAAAAAATCACTCAAAATATCAGCATCCAAAAAAATCCAGGACTCAAAAATGCATACAAAACCCAGTACTTTAAAGCATCAACACCCCAAAATACCAAGACCATCAAAATTAGCACCCCAAAAATCCCCACCAGAACCCAGGTAACCAGCATGCTAAAGAACAGTGCTCCAAAACACCTGCACACCAAAGTCAACCTAAAATCCCAACATCTCAAGGCACCAGTATTCTAAATAAAAATAAAAGCATCCCAGAAAACAGTGCTCCCCAGAACAGTTCGTCAAAAACCAACACCCCAGAAAACTTGAATGGCAAAATCATAGCTCCCAGAACACCACCACCCCAAAAACCACAGCACCCCAAGACCCAGCCGTGCATCTTTCCCCACGGGCTGGGCTGGGTGCAGATGCCCGCTGGCTGTCCCCAGGCTGTCCCCAGGGCTCTCTTTGTCCCCATGCCTGGTGCCTCCCCAGCTCCCTGGGCTCTCCGGTCCCTGGTAGAGGGTCAGGGTCTCACCAGCCAGCGAGAGGAGGCGCAGGCTGCCCATGCCCAGGAGGTGCTTCAGGCCAAAATCCTGCACCTGGAAAAGAAGATGGGATGGGGATGAGGTGGGGACAGTGGGGACAACCACAACACAGGGCTCAGCATTGCCCAGCTGGGGTAGGGAACTGGTGCCAGGACTGGGAACCTGAAGCAGGGTGCAGGATGCTGGGGCAGTGTGCTGGCTCTGGGTGCCAGGGCAGGGAACTGATGGGACAGGCTGCAGGGAGCTGGGTGCTGAGGAGGGGAGCCTGAGCAGGATGTGGGATGTTGCAGCAGGATGCTGGGGCAGGATTTTGGGTGCAGGGCCGGGGTACTGGGTCTGGGTTGTGCAACAGGGAGCAGGGAGCCAGGGCAGGGAGCCTGCAGCAGGTACCGGGTCTGGGGACGCTGCTGCTGGGGCAAGGATGCAGGGTCAGGGTGCCAGGGCTGAGCCCTGCTGAGCTCGCAGGAGCTCTCTGCTTCCTGGCACCAAGTCTTGGGGTCTTCAGCCAGCCCCGGGAGCCCGCCCTGAGCTCGTGGCCAGTCCCCAGGGAGGTGCCACCATGCCCTCTCTGCCGTGCCGAGCCAGGATGGGCTCAGCCGTGTTCCACACCTACCTGGCAGCACCAGCGCAGGTAGAGGCTCCGCAGGGATGACATGGTGGACAGGTAGCTGAGGCCGGTGTCGGTGATCCGCACGCACCTGCCGGGACACGGGGTGTCAGGACCAGCTGGTCACCCATGGGTGTCCCCAAACCATGGCCCCCATGCTGCACCCTCTGCTTCCAGCGTGGCTCAGCATGGCACAGCTTGGCACTGCATGGTTTGTCATGGGGTGACAGGGCACAGCACAGCTCGGCATGGCATGCATGGCATGGCATGGCTCGTCACGGTATGGCATGACTTGGCATGGCTTGACATAGCTTAGCATGGCATGGCATGGCCTGGCATGGCTCAACATGGCATGGCATGGCTTGGCATGGCACAGCACGGCTCAGCAAGGCCCTTTACCTGTCGAGCACCAGCTCCTCCAGCTTGTGCAGGTCGCAGGCGATGTACTCCAGGGCCATGTCGGTGATACGGGGGCACCAGGACAGGTCGAGGCTGCGCAGCTTCCGCAAATTCTCGGCCACCAGCTCCACGCCGTCATCCGTCACCTTGGAGCAGCCCGAGAGGCTGAGGACGCTCAGGTTGGGCAGGCTGTGGACCATGTTGACCACGCCGTGGTTGGTGATCTCCCAGCAGGAGTTGAGGCGCAGGGTGTGGGTGGTGTAGCCCTGCTTGGCGGTGAAGTAGGCGAGAGCCGTGTCCGTCACGTGGTAGGCTTGCAGGTTGAGCTCGGTGAGGTTGGGCAGGAGCTGCGAGATGGCGGCGATGGCGTCGTCGGCCACGTTGATGCAGTCGCTGACGCTCAGCGCCGTGATGCGGGCGTTGAGGCTGGACCACAGCCCAGCCTCCGTGAAGTCGTTGCAGCCCGACAGCTCCAGCCGCACCACGCCCTGCATCTGCTCCAGCATCACCTGCCGAGGGGCAGGGGGTCAGGCCGTGCCGGGCACTGCCACCCACCCTTGTGCATCCCTGTGTCCCCACCCCAGCTCCTAGTCTTGCCTGGGTCCAGTCTTCTCCCTGGCACGGGTCCCCCACCCCAGCTCCCTCTGGGTGGCTCTTCCCACTGCTCCCAGTCTTGCCTGGGTCCAGTCTTCTCCCTGGCACGGGTTCAACGCCTGCCTTAGGACATGACAGTATCAGTGGCGAGTGGGAAGGGACAGGCAGGGACCCTGGGTGCAGCCCCACCACTGTCCCTGCTGGCAGGGTCAGGATTGATGCCCGCTCCCAGCACAGGAACTGTTTGGGTCAGATATGCCCACGGAGCAGCTGGTGCTGTGTTTGGCCATGGCACAGGGCAAGGATCTCAGTGGGGACCTTGCCTAGCTCCTGAATTGCCCCATCTCTATCTGACCCTCAGCTCCTTGCTTGAGTGACCCCCTTGCTGGGGAGCAGCCAGCCAAGCAGGAATGTCCTATTTCCAGAGTTTGTCACCCATTGTCACCCACCGCCCAGCAGCACAGCCACCTCACCTGGCTCTGCCTTCCTGCAGCATCCACAGGCAGCAGGGATGAAGCCCCAACAGCCTCCTGACCCTGCATGGGCTGCACCCATCCCACTGCCCAGACCACAGGCAGGGCCTCCCAGGGCTGGCAGCACCTGTGGGGTGGCCATGCCACCTGTCTGCTCCTTCACTGTGACTGCTGAAAGCTCTGCCCGTGTGTGTGTCCCCAAGGCCAACAAGACTGACCCACCACCAGCACACCTCAGCCACCCCGGTCACTTCAGCAGGGTCACCTACCTCCAACCCCGCATCTGTGATGGTCGACCTCTTAAGGCTCATGGACTTGACCCCCTTCTTGGAGAGGGGGTAGTTGTCAATGAACTCACAAATGTCCAGGTCAGAGACGCCCACGAGGCAGAAGCCATCGAAGCCGCGGACGGCGAAGCCCTGCAGGCTGACGAACTCCTTCTCTCCACCGGGCAGGATGTTGTAGAGCTCTTTGGTGTGCAGGACGGGCGTCAAGCCCACCCAGAACTTGGGCTGGTAGAGCACCCTCCGCCATGCCTTGCACACCTGCGCCAGCACGCACTTCTCGCACGCCGAAAAGTACCAGAACAAGCGGTTGAGGATCTTCTCATCGACGGCCAGCTGCCTTTCCGAGGGCGAGCCCGGCAGCCGCTCTGGAGAGGGCTGCTCCGAGCCTTCGCTGGCGTTCAGTCCCACCAAGGAAGCGCCGGGAGGGGAGGAGACGCTGGCCAGGGTGGCCAAGGAGAGCGGGGAGGCCAGGCTGGGGATGGGCAGGTCGCTGCGGTGGGCTAAGGCCGGGCTGAGGATGGCAGGCACGGAGGAAGGCTGGCACAGGCGGTTTTTCACGGCAGGGGTGCCTTTGGTGATGCTGGCGGAGCCGAGGCCGTTGGGTTGCGTGGGGATCTTCACCAGTCCATTGCGGGGCAAACATGGGGGCTTGGTGTCGCCGTTTCTCGGGTTCGACATCTTCCACAGGTCTCTCTGTAACACAGGGGCGTGGGGTGAGGGGCTGTGGGTTTGCTGGAGGGGTGGCCACGGCTGGGGGAGGTGGTGGCGCCAGTGAGGGGGGAGATCCTGGGAGCTCTGAGCAGGGTGGTACATGGGACCAGGTGGTGCAGGGCTGCTGGACACAGCCACAGAGGGGACATGTCCGGAACACAGAGCAGGGTCCTCCCAGAAGCTGCATGGCCCTGGTGTGCCCTCGTGATGAGGGATGGATGAGGATTTGTCCCTGGGCATTCACATTCCTCTCTGAGCCTAGAAACAAGCATGGCCAGTGGCAGACAGAGAAGGATCCACAGACTGCTTTGGGCTGGAAGGAACCTCAAAGCCCATCCTGTTCCACATCCATGCCATGGGCAGGGACTCCTCCCACTAGCCCAGGTTGTTCCAGCCTGGCCTTGGACACTGCCTGGGATCGAGGGGCAGCCACAGCTGCTCTGGGCCCCCTGTGCCAGGGCCTGCCCACCCTCACAGGGAACAATTCCTTCCCAATACCCCATCTAATCCCGTCCTCTGCCAGTAGGAAGCCATTTCCCCTTGTCCTGTCCCTCCATGCCTTGTCCCCAGTCCCTCTCCAGCTCTCCTGGAGCCCCTTTAGGCCCTGCAAGGGGCTCTGAGGTGTCCCTGGAGCCTTCTCCTCTCCAGGTGAGCACCCCCAGCTCTCCCAGCCTGGCTCCAGAGCAGAGGGGCTCCAGCCCCCAGTGCATTTTTGTGGAGAGCAGCTGGCAGAGGCAGAGAGCTGCCTGTGCCCACCGTGCCAGCCAGGCCCTCAGCACTGAGCCTGTGCCAGCCGTAGCGCCGCTGATCTTCACGGAGCCTGGAGGCAGCCGGGCAGCACCCGGCAAACCGGGCCAATGAATATTGCAGTGGCAGCGAGGCCGGCTTCCCAAGGGCCCGCCGCACCCACCATCCATTATTCAACGCATTTCCCTCTATAAATATGGAGGTGAATTATTGATGGGGGCTCAGCCCCCTCCCCCTGCCCAGCCGGGGCCTGGCGCAGGGCCCTGCCCCACTGCTGCCTGCCCTGCCCGCACCCAGCTTGCCAATGCCAAGCCAAACCCTGCCAAAAAGCTGATCCTGGCAACCCCTGGGGGCACAAGGAGCTGAAGCACGGGAATGCAGCTTGCAGTGCATGGAGCAGGGCACAGGGAGCTGCCCCTGAAGGCCCAAGGGGTGGTTGGCACATCCATCCACCAGTGACAGGAGCTGAGGAGCTTCTTGCCTGCCAGCTCTTCCCAGACCCTAGATTAAAGCAAGGGAATTATTATAGCTGCTTGATTTGGGATGGAGAAAGTCAAGCCCTGGTGGAGGAGGCACCGAGGGAAGAGCATTCTGCTCATGGCCAAGCTGCGTGGTCCCCGAGCCTGGAAGCAGGATGCAGCCTAGACCCCCTGCTGCCCATCCCTTTCACTCCCACAGCATCCCTGACCTCATCCAACTCTCCTGGAGCAGCCAGGGAGGGCGCAGCCACCCAAAAGAGAGCTCAGAAGCGCAGTGAGGTGCCGGCGGCCCATCAGGAGAACCCGCGGGATGCACGGCACACGGCATCTCCCGAGGACACCGTTTCGGCACAGCGGGGCCGTGGCGGGGGCCGTGGGCGCTGCCGCAGCCTCTCCGGGCTGCGAGCGGAGGTGCCGGCAGACAGCCCGGCTCGGTGGCAGCGTCCCGCCGAGATGCAGCCTCCGGGGACGAGCCCAGCCCTGTGCAGACAGTCTGGCGCCGCTCCCGGCTTGGATGCAGCCGCTGCTGCCTCCGCTCACGCTGCCCGACAGCGGAGCTGGGCCGCCGATGCTTGGACATGTGTTAAATTCGCTTGAAAGCAGGAGAAGGGGAGGGGAGAGAAGAGAGAAACTTGAAACCAGCGGCTCGCTGCTTGGCCGCAGTTAGGGCAGTAAACAGAACGTGCAGCGGGGTGTCTCTGGCCACGGAGCACCGATCCAAAGAGATAATGACCAGGTGGCGCGGAGGAGCTGTCGCTGCGGCACCGAGCCCGCAGCCAGAGCCGCTGGGCACGCTGGCCGGCCCCGGGGAGAGGGCAGGTGGTGGCAGAGGGGCAGCCCAGGGCCTCGGGAGCCAAAGGGGACAGTCACAGCAGGAGACAGATGCTGACAAGTCGCCGGACTCACGGCAGCCAGCAGGAGGTTTTGGCACAGCATCCAACGTGCTCAGAGCTCGGCTGGTCCCCGAGGCCGAGCTCAGGGGGCTCAGGGGGCTCAGGGGGTCCAGCAGCTTTCCTTGGAAAGTTGAGCCAGGCCCCCGGCCCAGGGAGCTGAGGCTGCCTGAACAGAGCACAGAAATCCCGAACCTTGAGTGAGCTGGAAGTCACTGCAAATAGAAAGATGAACAGAGATTCGAGCCTCTGGGCACAGGAGGATCTTGGCAGTAGTGGAGGCAGGCATTTCTCTTTGGGCAGATGAGCAGGGAAGAATTTGGGTGCTCCTACCACCCCCAGGCACTGAACTGTGCTTGAGGAAAGTGTGGAGAAGGTGGGCTGGGAGCACGGGCTGGGAGGGCAGTGGGTCCCATGGCTGCTGTCTCTGGCATCAAGGGGCAGTGCTGGCATCTGCCCTCCTGTGCCACGGGAGAGCCTCGGGCTGCAGCCAGGCGGCCCTGCAGCTCCTGCAGCTCAGGACTGAGGTCACATTGCTCTGATGCCCAAAGTGACTCTCCCACAACCCCTGGGGGTCACAGCTGCTGCGTGCAGGACACCCAGAGCCCACCCTGCACCTCCCAAGGCACTCCCAGCTCAGAGACAGCAGAAGGACAGAAAAACCCAAAGCTGTCTGCCTTGGAGGTGTCAGCACAGACCCTCCCAGATGTTCCAGCAGTTCCATGGACACCTCCACATGCTTTTTGGCCACTTCAAAGCAACAGGAGAGCAGAGATTTGTCCCTTTCCCTTCTCTCTGTCATCTCAGTGTTTGCAGATTGCATGACTGGGCCAAGCACACCATCATCATCAGGATTGTTCAGCACTTGGTGCAACCATCCTTGCTCTGGGGTTCCACAGGAAGAGTCCAGATTTGCAGCCCCCCTCTGTCTCAGCCCACCTTTGTTGTCTCACGGGGAAACATCTCCCAGCAGTGGAGTGTCAGCTCCAGCCCAGTGAGAGAAAACCTGACAAAAGCAAAGGTCAAAGCCCTCCAGTCTCCCGAATCCACTCCAGGGTGCACATTTGTCAGGATACGTCACTGGCAGAGAGGTTTGGAGGGGTTTGTCACCCACGGGAAGCGATGATGCACTGCTGGGGGGCGGATTTGACGCAGGGAGAGAGAAGAAAGCCGGGGTCTGAGAGCCTTCACCACAAACACTGCACAGACAATGAGGATGCTGGGATGAACGGGATGGAAACTGCCAGGAAAACAGAGCTTGCCCAACCTGTTGGCGAGTTTACTATCTGCACGTGGTGGTGGAGAGGGATGAGGGCCTTGAGACACGGGCAGGGCCACCAGCCACCCTGTGAGTGCATTGCCTGGGAGATCCCTGGCTCCAGGATCAGTTATCCTGCTGCAGCAGGGATCGGGATGAGCTCTGGGACAGCCGGGCTTGCAGCCGGACCGGAGACCAAGGGACATCCCGGACTGGCCGGCGGGAGCCTGCGGGACCGCGGCCGTGCTGGGTCAGCACCGCGGACAGCGGCCCCGGTCAGCACCGCGGACAGCGGATGAACGGGATGGAAACTGCCAGGAAAACAGAGCTTGCCCAACCTGTTGGCGAGTTTACTATCTGCACGTGGTGGTGGAGAGGGATGAGGGCCTTGAGACACGGGCAGGGCCACCAGCCACCCTGTGAGTGCATTGCCTGGGAGATCCCTGGCTCCAGGATCAGTTATCCTGCTGCAGCAGGGATCGGGATGAGCTCTGGGACAGCCGGGCTTGCAGCCGGACCGGAGACCAAGGGACATCCCGGACTGGCCTGCGTGGGAGCCCGCGGGACCGCGGCCATGCTGGGTCAGCACCGCGGACAGCGGCCCCGGTCACTGGTCCCGGTCACCGGCCCCGGTAAGCACCGAGGACAGCGGCCCCGGTCAGCACCGAGGACAGCGGCCCCGGTCAGCACCGAGGACAGCGGCGCCCCGCAAGGATCCCGCGCTCGAGTCCCCGCCAGCATCCGGCCCTGTCGCGCCTGGCCCTGGGAGGATCCATCCCTGCCGCACCGGCTGCTTGCAAGGGATCCTACATCACCCCTCCAGGGCCCTGCGAAGATCCAGTATTGCTCCAACAGATCCTTGTGAGAGATCCTACTATAACCCAGCAGGCAGATCTGCTGCTGCCCCAGCAGATCCCAGAGAGAATCCATGACTGCCCCACAAACTCCCCGTGAGACCCTGCTGTCACCCACCGGGTCCCTGCAGCCCCGCTGCTGCCCCCAGCCGGCCTCGGAGCCTTGGTATCGCCCTGCCAGGACCCAGGGCTGCTGCCAAAGGGTTTCAGGTGGCAGAGCCGCGCGGAGCGAGCAGCCATCGCTGCCTGCTCACACTCACACACACACGGGGTGTACACACGCACGGGCCGGTGTAGCCCCGGGGAGGGGGTGCCTTGGCACAAGCCCGGCTCACACTCACACTCACACTCACACTCACACATACCCAGGGGATGTACACACACATACACACACACTCACACACACACTCACACACACACAGCCAGGGGATGTACACACACATACACAGACACACACTCACACACACACATACACACACACTCTCACACTCACACACACACACTCACACACACAGCCAGGGGATGTACACACACATACACACACCCTCACACACACACTCACACACACACGCACACTCACACACACACACACACTCTCACTCACACACACACTCACACACACACGCACACTCACACACACACACACACTCTCACTCACACACACACTCACACACACACGCACACTCACACACACACACACACTCTCACTCACACACACACTCACACACACACGCACACTCACACACACACACACACTC